AAGCAATCTCTGAATATATTGCAGAGACCAAACCATCAATGGACACTGATCCACCTTCCGCTCTTTCTCTCTCCTCTGCTCCATCTGCGCAACTCCTTTCTTCACAGCGCACCGTTCCTTCGCTGCTTGAACATTTTCCACTGCCTCCGCATGTGGACTTTTCTAACCCTTCTAGTCTGTAGGAACCCTTACCTGCGGATTTTAAGTATCTTTATCATTGCCAATCATGGCCTATTTACAGTGGAATATACGGGGCCTCAGGGGTAATCGGGGTGAGCTTCAGATGTTACTCTCCCAGTTTGCCCCTGTTGGTGTTTGCTTACAGGAATCAAAATTACACTCTGCTGTTATTTCTCACATCTCAGGCTATAATTTATTGTATTCTTCAGATCCTTTTCCTGATGGGACCTTTAATGAAAGTGCCCTTCTTCTCCGCATTGATATTCCGTACCATCAGCTATTTGTTCATACTTCGCTGCATTACACAGCAGCCCGTATCCACTTACATAGGTGGTATACGCTCTGTTCTTTATATCTCTCTCCTTCTCGGGCATTATCTATTCCGGATTTTGCCTTCCTTGTTTCGTCATTACCGCCACCAATTCTGTTACTTGGTGATTTTAATGCCCACCATTTCCTCTGGGGGGGGGGGGGTCTCACTGTGATTCCCGTGGAATTCAGTTAGAGGCTTTTCTTGCCACCCACCCCCTCCATGTTTTAAATACAGGTACTCACACCCATTTTGATCCTCGGACTCATACTCTCTCTTGCATCGATCTCTGTCTGCTCTTCCTCCGCCGCATTAGACTTCACTTGGTCTGTTCTCCCGGACTTACATGACAGTGATCATTTCCCAATCATTCTTACTTCCCCTTCATATTCACCACCTCTTCGCACCCCACGCTGGCAATTTAATCGGGCAAATTGGAACCTTTACTCACACCTAACTGTTTTTAAAGAGGTTCCTTCTTCGTCCTCCATCGATGAGCTTTTACACCTCTTCTCGTCCTCCGTTTTCACAGCAGCTTCTCATTCTATACCCCAAACTTCGGGCAGGCATTCTCAGAAATGCGTGCCTTGGTGGTCTCCTGCTTGTGCTCGTGCAGTACGTTTGAAACGCGCTGCATGGGGCAGGTACCGGTACAATAGAACCACAGAGCGACTCCTTGATTTTAAACAGAAGCGTGCGATCGCTCGCCGTGTCATCCTTGATGCTAAACGCACTTGCTGGCGAGATTGTCTCCACCATCACCTCTGCTTCCTCTGAGTGCAGTCTGGAAAAAAGTACGAAAACTGAGTGGTAAATATTCTCCTGACCCGGCTCCTGTTCTGCGGGTTGCCAGTGTTGATATAGCAAACCCACTAGATGTTGCCAATGAAATTGGCAATCATCTGGTCCGTATTTCTCAGGGACTCCATCTATGCCCCTCATTTCTTTCCTCAAAGTCTGCCAGAGAGTTAGCACCCTTGGACTTTTCTTCTCTCAGAGAAGAACAGTATAATGTGCCTTTTACACTTCAAGAACTGGAGGCAACACTCTCAGCTTGTCGATCATCGGCAGCTGGGCCCGACGACATTCATATTCGTATGCTACAACATTTACATCAGTCAGCCCTTGCAGTCCTATTACGCCTTTACAATCTTATTTGGTCACAAGGAGTTCTTCCACAGCTGTGGAAATCCGCCGTTGTTCTCCCTTTCCGCAAACCAGGCACTACGGGACATGAAACCTCCCACTATCGTCCCATTGCTCTTACCAGTGCAGTTTGCAAAGTAATGGAATGCCTAGTAAATAGACGTTTAGTGTGGTATTTAGAGACACACAACAGTCTCTCCACTCGTCAATATGGCTTTCGTAAGGGACGTTCTACCATAGACCCCTTACTACGCTTGGATACATATGTTCGTAATGCCTTTGCGAATAACCACTCGGTTATTGCCATATTTTTTTGACCTTGAGAAGGCATATGACACAACTTGGAGGTATAATATTTTAGCCCAAGCCCACTCCTTAGGCCTTCGAGGCAATCTACCATCCTTCCTTAAGAACTTTTTAACTGACAGGCATTTCCGTGTTCGGGTTAATAATGTGCTCTCCCCAGACTTTATCCAAGCTGAAGGTGTCCCCCAGGGATTTGTTTCTGAGCACAACACTTTTTCTCCTTGCTATTAATGATTTGGCCTCTAGTCTTCCATCAAATATTTGGTCATCACTCTATGTTGATGACTTCGCTATTGCCTGTGCAGGCGCTGACTGTCACCTCCTTACAGTTTCTCTCCAACATGCAGTCGACAGTGTTTCCAATTGGGCCACCACACGTGGGTTTAAATTTTCCAGCACTAAAACCCACCAAATCACTTTCACTAGACGCTCTGTCATCTCTAATCATCCTTTGTACCTCTATGGCTCCCGTATCCCTGAACGTGATAGTCAAGTTTCTGGGCCTCCTCTTTGATCGTAGGTTATCCTGGAAACCTCACATTACCTCTCTGAAGGCAACTTGTCACAGCCGGCTGAACCTTCTTAAAACCCTTGCTCATCTTTCGTGGGGAGCTGATAGTCAAACCCTCCTTCGCCTGCATTCCACCCTTATTTTATCGAAACTTGATTATGGTGACCAGATCTATTCAGCGGCATCTCCTGCTACTCTCTCTAGCCTTAACCCCATTCATCACCAAGGATTACGTTTATGCCTTGGTGCTTTTCGCTCTTCCCCTGTCGAGAGCCTCTATGCAGAAGCAAACGTTCCATCCTTATCCGATCGCCGTGATGCCCATTGCCTGCGCTACTATGTACGCTCTCATGATCTCCGCAATCCTTCCATTTATAGAATGGTCACTGATATTAGTAGACATTCTTTATTTGTTCGCCGCCCTGTTTACTCCGTCCCTTCTCTCTTCGCCTTCATTCGCTCTTGTCTTCTCTTCAACTACCACCTTTCTATGTACATGTAGCATCTCACTTTTCCCTACCCCCCTGGGAAGTTCCAGCTGTTCGAGTCTGTTCTTTCTCTCCCTTGCTCGAAAGCCCAACTGTCTACGGTCGCTTCCCGCTCTCTTTTTCTTGACCACTTTCACTCTCATTCTCATGCCATTGCTGTGTACACAGATGGCTCTAAGTCTTCTGATGGCGTAGGATTCGCAGCAGTGTTTCCGGACAGCGTCGTACAAGGGCATTTACTATCTTCGGCTAGTATTTTTACTGCTGAATTATATGCCATCCTTACAGCACTTATCCGTATTGCATCTATGCCTGTGTCATCATTTGTGGTTGTCTCAGACTCCCTTAGTGCTTTACAGGCTATACAAAAATTTGATACACCTCACCCCTTAGTCCTCCGTATCCAACTTTGGCTACGCCGCATCTTTACCAAGCATAAAGATAGTTTTTTGTTGGGTCCCTGGTCATGTTGATGTACAGGGCAATGAACAGGCAGACACTGCTGCGCGGTCAGCAGTACATGACCTACCAGTTTCTTATAGAGGTATTCCATTTACGGACTATTTTGCTGCAATATCTTCCCACCTTCACACCCGTTGGCAACAACGTTGGTCTACTATGCTTGGCAACAAACTTCAGTCTATTAAACCGAGTATAGGTTACTGGCCGTCTTCTTATCACCAGTGTCGAGGTTGGGAGACTACTCTCTCCCATCTTCGCATTGGCCATACTCGTCTTACTCATGGATATCTCATGGAGAGGCGTCTTGCTCCTCTCTGTGAGAATTGCCAAGCTCCCATTATCAGTCAGCCACATTCTGTTGGACTGCCCACTTTATCAACGAGCAGCAGAATTTACCTCTGTCGTCGTCTTCGCTCCGCTGCTCTCTCTTTACCTTCCCTTCTCGCTGATGGACCCACCTTTCATCCGGACTCTCTCATTGACTTTTTGACAACGACTGACTTACTTCACAAATTCTGATACCTTCAGCCCTTTCTACTTCAATCTCTTACTACCCTCTACCCCCGTACTATCCCCTGCCCCGCTGTTTTCTGTAACCTGCTGATCATCCCCCCTCCCTTCTGCCATCCAATTCCCTTGCTTCCTTCCCTACCCTGCAGCGCTGTATAGCCCTTGTGGCTTAGCGCTTCTTTTTGATTATAATAATAATATACGGGAGAAGGGGTTACTAGCCCCTTGCTTCCGGCATTTTAGTCGCCTCTTACAACACGCATGGCTTACGGAGGAAGAATTCTGTTCCACTTCCCCATGGAGATAAGAGGAAATAAACAAGAACAAGAAAGAAAATAGACGAATACCCAGAGGGGTGTGTATATATATGCTTGTACATGTATGTGTAGTGTGACCTAAGTGTAAGTAGAAGTAGCAAGACATATCTGAAATCTTGCATGTTTATGAGACAGACAAAAGACACCAGCAATCCTACCATGTAAAACAATTGCAGGTTTTCGTTGTACACTCGCTTGGCAGGACAGTAGTACCTCCCTGGGCGGTTGCTGTCTACCAACCTACTACGTAGGTTTTTTAGTAATTACCTATTTATAATTACCAGTACCTGTTAGCTTGTGGTGTCCCATCCTCAATAATTTGTTCATCTTATAAATTAAAATTTTGAATGGTTGAAGCACTGACTACATCCTCTTGTGTTATACTATTCTATTGATCTACCACTCTGAATAAAAATTTTCTGTTATCTTTTTAACTTTTCCATGGGAAGTGAACAGAATTCTTCCTCTGTAAGCCATGTGTGTGGTAAGAGGGGACTAACATGCCAAGAGCAAGGGGCTAGTAACACCTGTATACATTACTGAAGTTAAAAAGAAATTTTTGTTTTTCTTTTTGGGGCCACCCTTCCTCAGTGAGATACTGCTAGTTTGTTAAAAGATCTTTTTAAGTACTTTTTTTCCTCAATTTACAAATGTGATGACATTTGATAGTGTTTCTAAATATATGCTGTTAGGATAAGAATATTTTTTATCTCCAAATATTAATTTGAAATGCCAAATACAGTATCCAATTTGCAGTTTTATTTTTTCAGCGTGTGTATTACCTTTCCCTGGAGTACTACATGGGCAGGTCACTCACAAATACCATGGTCAACTTGGGTATTCAGTCTGCCTGTGATGAAGCTCTGTATCAGCTTGGTCTGGATATTGAAGAGCTAGAATGCCTTGAAGAAGATGCAGGACTGGGTAATGGAGGTCTTGGACGTTTAGCTGCCTGCTTCCTGGATTCTATGGCCACTCTTGGTATGGCTGCTTATGGCTATGGTATTAGATATGAATATGGTATCTTTGCTCAGAAGATCAAGAATGGAGAGCAGGTAAACAATGCTTAAACTGTTCATTTAACAGTGTACAAGAATTATTTTGAATGCCAAATCAAAATATAGTCCTACTATACTAGTTATGTTCTATGGGTATCAGAGGCTCTTTATAGCACCTGGGACCAAACATTTTCACATACTGTACTCGGTAGAAAGAATTGTATTTCTATATTGACTACAGTGGCTAGATAATGTATGCCAAGCCACATTAATTTATTAAAGATTTTCATAACCAGTTTCATAAAATTTACATATTTTTTTAATCCTTCCATAACTTTCTTTAAAATACTGTACTGAATTATAAGTTTGGTTACACTACCTCTTATTCTGTTAAGCTTTTTTTTAAAAGCTAAGAATTCTATGGTTACTTATGAATATTCTTTTCATGTTTTCATTATCATCTTAACCATAACATGTGACCCTAAATATATGCATTTGAATAAGTTCATTTTGTATAAATATCTTTCTTCTACTTTTGTTGCTTTATTATTAATTCATATTCATTGTCAATCAAGGTCTTCTTAAGCACCATTCCAAACTTCTCTACCAACATTTGGAACACTTAAGAAATATTAAATAGTATGGTATCATAGTAAATAGCAATTATGTCTGGAGTTTCGAGACTATGATCGCGGGTTCTATCCCTGCCCATGGTATGGTTTTTTTAAACCACTTTCATATTCCTAAATATTTCTCACTTGTGTGCTTCTTTGCAAACACTTTACAACCTACGTATTTTGTCTGCCAGTCCTTGAGTATTTTCCCTTTCATACACACAGTGAGTAAAAGCACCAGCCAGTCCATACTTCAGTTTTATTTGCTCTCAGCATTTAAGTTTTAATGCTATCCACACTCGCTTTTTCCCCACTTTGATTTTCATGTGCTGTACTTGCTTCAAAAGTGTCAATCATTCCTTCTCATTTTAAGTATGAAATTTCTGCATTCATCATCTTAAAATCATGGGCAAGGAGAAATGTGTAGGCAAAACCTGCCTACCTTGTCACATAGCAATAATAAATAACTAGGAGTTAGTAGATTGGTGTGTGATCACATCCTGGGAATGGAGCTAAAAAGGACCCAAAGGAAGTAATCCACACTCCTTGGCTGACTTAGGTTATCCCGTCTTATTAATACTGTAGGATTACTAAACTAAATAATTCTCATCTACCTTCTTATTCAGCACCTATTTTAGGACAGGTGCATTTGCTTCCTGTGTTTTCTCGTCCTTCTTACTCGTACTATTTTTTTTAAATTTGTTGATGTTACCTTGCATGTTCTTTCATTTGCTCTTTTTCAAACTTGATTCTTAACATATTTTCTACATGTGCAAACCACTATTTTCACCTCATCATTACCGCTATTTCTCTTCCATCCTGTATGTACTATAATCCAGTCATCAGCAGTGTCTTCTGAAGAAACTGACTCATCCTTACAGTAACACAGCACCTTTTTTGACATTACTTGCAGTAAGTCATTTTTTTTTTTCCATCAGTTGCTCATACCTCTAAATTTAAAACTTTTTCTTTAATTTATTCACTTTCATTCTTTTTTTATTACCTACCACCATCTCTCCTTTTTATATGTACTTGTAGCAAATAAAGATATTATTATTATATTATGTATTCTGCCTCACTCTTATGGCTATTAATGTAGTGTAACTACTTTAGTGACTGTTGTATAGAATAAACATCAAAGTGGTCAGCTGTTAATTTTATTTTTCCATTTCTTTCATAGGTTGAGGAGCCAGATGACTGGTTGCGTTTTGGCAACCCATGGGAGAAAGCCCGACCGGAGTATATGATTCCAGTTAATTTCTATGGAAGAGTTGAGGATACACCACAGGGAAAGAAATGGGTTGACACACAGGTATGCAATCCATTAAGAAAATGGCTGTCAGGAGTTAGTTTTCTGTTCAATTTTTTTGTTGCATTAATCATGATGTTTTTCCTTAGTTTTAAAATGAGTGAAAGCTTTATTTTAATTTTTTTTAACAAACTGGCCATATCCCACCAAGGCAGGGTGGCCCAAAAAGAGAAATGAAATTTTTTCTCTTTAAATTTAGTAATTTGTACAGGAGAAGGGGTTACTAGCCTCTTGCTCCCTTATTTTAAAATGTAAAATTAATTTTCATTTTATTCCATTGACCATGACTTTAAAAATTCTCAGATTGTGTTTGCCATGCCATATGACAACCCTATTCCTGGCTACAAGAACAATGTAGTAAACACCATGAGGCTGTGGTCAGCAAAGTCACCTAACAACTTCAACCTAAAGTTCTGTAAGTATATTTCCTTGTATGCCATACTATAGTTTATATGCCCTGACACTAAAGTGTATACTATAAAACTTTTACTTGTTAAGTTAAGAAACCTCTAGGAAAGATTTTAAAAGTAAAAATTATCCATATATAGCTTGCAAAATAGTTTGAAGCTAATCTTTTTAATACACAAATAACCTACACAGGAGAAAAAGCTTATGACAACATTTCAGTCTTACTAGAAAATAGAATCCTAGTAGTAAATATATTTTGAGGTAGTAGGTTGGTAGACAGCAACCACCCAGGGAAGTACTACCGTCCTGCCAGATGACTGTGAAACAAAAACCTGTAACTGTTTTGCATGATGGTAGGATTGCTGGTTTCTTTTTCTGTCTCATAAACACGCTAAGATAACAGGGATATCTTGCTACTCCTACTTACACTTTGGTCACACTTCACAGACACGCACATGCATATATATATATACATACATCTAGGTTTTTCTCCTTTTTCTAAATAGCTCTTGTTCTTTTTATTTCTTCTATTGTCCATGGGGAAGTGGAAAAGAATCTTTCCTCCGTAAGCCATGCGTGTCGTATGAGGCGACTAAAATGCCGGGAGCAATGGGCTAGTAACCCCTTCTCCTGTATACAATTACTAAAAAAGAGAAGAAGAAAAACTTTATAAAACTGGGTTGCTTAAATGTGCGTGGATGTAGTGCGGATGACAAGAAACAGATGATTGCTGATGTTATGAATGAAAAGAAGTTGGATGTCCTGGCCCTAAGCGAAACAAAGCTGAAGGGGGTAGGAGAGTTTCAGTGGGGGGAAATAAATGGGATTAAATCTGGAGTATCTGAGAGAGTTAGAGCAAAGGAAGGGGTAGCAGTAATGTTAAATGATCAGTTATGGAAGGAGAAAAGAGAATATGAATGTGTAAATTCAAGAATTATGTGGATTAAAGTAAAGGTTGGATGCGAGAAGTGGGTCATAATAAGCGTGTATGCACCTGGAGAAGAGAGGAATGCAGAGGAGAGAGAGAGATTTTGGGAGATGTTAAGTGAATGTATAGGAGCCTTTGAACCAAGTGAGAGAGTAATTGTGGTAGGGGACTTGAATGCTAAAGTAGGAGAAACTTTTAGAGAGGGTGTGGTAGGTAAGTTTGGGGTGCCAGGTGTAAATGATAATGGGAGCCCTTTGATTGAACTTTGTATAGAAAGGGGTTTAGTTATAGGTAATACATATTTTAAGAAAAAGAGGATAAATAAGTATACACGATATGATGTAGGGCGAAATGACAGTAGTTTGTTGGATTATGTATTGGTAGATAAAAGACTGTTGAGTAGACTTCAGGATGTACATGTTTATAGAGGGGCCACAGATATATCAGATCACTTTCTAGTTGTAGCTACACTGAGAGTAAAAGGTAGATGGGATACAAGGAGAATAGAAGCATCAGGGAAGAGAGAGGTGAAGGTTTATAAACTAAAAGAGGAGGCAGTTAGGGTAAGATATAAACAGCTATTGGAGGATAGATGGGCTAATGAGAGCATAGGCAATGGGGTCGAAGAGGTATGGGGTAGGTTTAAAAATGTAGTGTTAGAGTGTTCAGCAGAAGTTTGTGGTTACAGGAAAGTGGGTGCAGGAGGGAAGAGGAGCGATTGGTGGAATGATGATGTAAAGAGAGTAGTAAGGGAGAAAAAGTTAGCATATGAGAAGTTTTTACAAAGTAGAAGTGATGCAAGGAGGGAAGAGTATATGGAGAAAAAGAGAGAGGTTAAGAGAGTGGTGAAGCAATGTAAAAAGAGAGCAAATGAGAGAGTGGGTGAGATGTTATCAACAAATTTTGTTGAAAATAAGAAAAAGTTTTGGAGTGAGATTAACAAGTTAAGAAAGCCTAGAGAACAAATTGATTTGTCAGTTAAAAATAGGAGAGGAGAGTTATTAAATGGAGAGTTAGAGGTATTGGGAAGATGGAAGGAATATTTTGAGGAATTGTTAAATGTTGATGAAGATAGGGAAGCTGTGATTTCGTGTATAGGGCAAGGAGGAATAACATCTTGTAGGAGTGAGGAAGAGCCAGTTGTGAGTGTGGGGGAAGTTCGTGAGGCAGTAGGTAAAATGAAAGGGGGTAAGGCAGCCGGGATTGATGGGATAAAGATAGAAATGTTAAAAGCAGGTGGGGATATAGTTTTGGAGTGGTTGGTGCAATTATTTAATAAATGTATGGAAGAGGGTAAGGTACCTAGGGATTGGCAGAGAGCATGCATAGTTCCTTTGTATAAAGGCAAAGGGGATAAAAGAGAGTGCAAAAATTATAGGGGGATAAGTCTGTTGAGTGTACCTGGTAAAGTGTATGGTAGAGTTATAATTGAAAGAATTAAGAGTAAGACGGAGAATAGGATAGCAGATGAACAAGGAGGCTTTAGGAAAGGTAGGGGGTGTGTGGACCAGGTGTTTACAGTGAAACATATAAGTGAACAGTATTTAGATAAGGCTAAAGAGGTCTTTGTGGCATTTATGGATTTGGAAAAGGCGTATGACAGGGTGGATAGGGGGCAATGTGGCAGATGTTGCAAGTGTATGGTGTAGGAGGTAGGTTACTGAAAGCAGTGAAGAGTTTTTACGAGGATAGTGAGGCTCAAGTTAGAGTATGTAGGAAAGAGGGAAATTTTTTCCCAGTAAAAGTAGGCCTTAGACAAGGATGTGTGATGTCACCGTGGTTGTTTAATATATTTATAGATGGGGTTGTAAGAGAAGTAAATGCGAGGGTCTTGGCAAGAGGCGTGGAGTTAAAAGATAAAGAATCACACACAAAGTGGGAGTTGTCACAGCTGCTCTTTGCTGATGACACTGTGCTCTTGGGAGATTCTGAAGAGAAGTTGCAGAGATTGGTGGATGAATTTGGTAGGGTGTGCAAAAGAAGAAAATTAAAGGTGAATACAGGAAAGAGTAAGGTTATGAGGATAACAAAAAGATTAGGTGATGAAAGATTGAATATCAGATTGGAGGGAGAGAGTATGGAGGAGGTGAACGTATTCAGATATTTGGGAGTGGACGTGTCAGCGGATGGGTCTATGAAAGATGAGGTGAATCATAGAATTGATGGGAAAAAGAGTGAGTGGTGCACTTAGGAGTCTGTGGAGACAAAGAACTTTGTCCTTGGAGGCAAAGAGGGGAATGTATGAGAGTATAGTTTTACCAACGCTCTTATATGGGTGTGAAGCGTGGGTGATGAATGTTGCAGCGAGGAGAAGGCTGGAGGCAGTGGAGATGTCATGTCTGAGGGCAATGTGTGGTGTGAATATAATGCAGAGAATTCGTAGTTTGGAAGTTAGGAGGAGGTGCGGGATTACCAAAACTGTTGTCCAGAGGGCTGAGGAAGGGTTGTTGAGGTGGTTCGGACATGTAGAGAGAATGGAGCGAAACAGAATGACTTCAAGAGTGTATCAGTCTGTAGTGGAAGGAAGGCGGGGTAGGGGTCGGCCTAGGAAGGGTTGGAGGGAGGGGGTAAAGGAGGTTTTGTGTGCGAGGGGCTTGGACTTCCAGCAGGCATGCGTGAGCGTGTTTGATAGGAGTGAATGGAGACAAATGGTTTTTAATACTTGACGTGCTGTTGGAGTGTGAGCATAGTAACATTTATGAAGGGATTCAGGGAAACCGGCAGGCCGGACTTGAGTTCTGGAGATGGGAAGTACAGTGCCTGCACTCTGAAGGAGGGGTGTTAATGTTGCAGTTTAAAAACTGTAGTGTAAAGCACCCTTCTGGCAAGACAGTGATGGAGTGAATGATGGTGAAAGTTTTTCTTTTTCGGGCCACCCTGCCTTGGTGGGAATCGGCCGGTGTGATAATAAAAAAAAAAAAAAAATATTTATTTAAAGCTACTGTATCTCTTTTTTTTTCACTTAATTGCAGTGCTTTTTCAGCTTTTTAAAAATATAGTATGCCTAAAGTTAAGGTAGTGCCATTGCTATAATTAGGAATGCATAATATACGAACATGACAGAATGTGTAGTGTAAATATTGCAAGAGCTTGATAGCTTCAGTAATTTTCATTGTGAAGTATCCAGTTGCTGCAAAATGGAGAATTAAATTTCAGTACAGTATTTTTATGGCTTATCTTAAGGATGTCCCACATTACCTTTATTATTAAGCCATGTCTAAGTTTGTCTGAAATGTTGTGTACATACTATGGGCTTTTCAACTGATTGTACTATGTTATGTATTTTTTTTCAATTACAGAATAACATGTCTCACTCACCCCAGAAATAGTAATGATTCTGGTGTATTAATAAATTAAAATTTTCCACATTAAAAGATAGACTGCAAAATTTTATTTTACCTCACTTTATAATTTTATAAAAAAAAAAAAAAAAAAAGTTAAGTGTATTATTTTCATTGCAAAAATTAAATATTTTTTCTACCACCAGTCAATGATGGTGAATACATACAGGCTGTGCTGGATCGCAACTTTGCGGAGAACATCTCCCGTGTGTTATACCCCAATGATAACTTCTTTGAGGGCAAGGAGTTGCGTCTAAAGCAGGAATATTTCATGGTAGCTGCCACCTTGCAGGATATAATCAGGCGCTTCAAAGCTTCAAAGTTTGGTTCTAAAGATGCAGTTCGGACTTCCTTTGATACATTCCCAGACAAGGTAAGTAGTATTCCTGTAATTATAATAAATATACTACTGTATAAACTTAAGAATATTATGGTTCTGTGCTATGTGGAAAATAGTGACAGTTGATAAATGAGTAAAAAACAACTTTACCCGAAATCCTGTACTGGATTTTTTAACTAGCAGAGATGCTAAAATGCACTACATGCACAACATTGCTGTGCTTCAAATTATTTATCTGATAATTTTGGTACGATTCAGTGAGGAGAAAAAGGGCTGTAGATCTGAATTACATTTCATGTGTAAATGCTGTAATTTATATGGATGAAAATGTTTTTTGTTCAATATTCGTCTAAATAATTACACTGGACCCCCGAGTTTCGTGATTAATCCGTTCCAGAGAGTCTGCCAGAAGTCGAATTTCACAAATGTTGAACCCATTTTCCCCATAAAAAATAATGTAAATCCAATTAATCTGTTTGGCACCCAAAAGTATTAACAATTTTTGAGATTGAATATACATTTACATACAGAAAAGAACGAGAAATCAAGTATAAAACAATATCATACTTACCTTTATTGAAGACTTGTTGGTGTATGGAAGACAGGAGGAGGGGAGAGGATGGAGAAGTAACACTATTGTTTGGAAGGGTAATTCCCTTCCATAAAGACTTTGGGTACCAAATTCGTATCCGGGGTTACTTCCCTAATTTGTTTTTTAATACCACTAGGATCAGCTTGAGTCACTGGACTCCTGTCACTCAAAAAATTGTTCCAGACAGCCCTGTTTCTGGCATCTCTTTAAAATTTGCCTTTGTACATGTTGCCGACACAGCTTGCAACATCTTTGTCAGGGTGATGTTCCTCCATAAACGTTTGCACCTCACTCCACTTTGCACAAATGTCCTTAAGCTTTGAAGAAGGCACCTTCTTCCATCTCTCTTCCTCCTCCTCTGAAGCAAATTTCCTCAGCTGTGGTCTGTTGCTGTTGCAGATGAAGATCTTGCGGCTCTTCTCTGTGGTCCTCCACCAACTCTTCCACATTCTGGCCACTCACATCCAACCCCATGGAATTCCCCAATGCCACAGTTGATTGCACAACAGGTGTAGGGTCGACAGGAAGTCACTCCCTGCCAAGCCTTGTCTATAAGGCTTATGCAATTGAAGATATTGAAGTGATCCTTCCAGAACTCTTAGGGTCAATTGAGTGTCTGAGGTCACATCAAAACACCTTTGAAACATTGCTTTGGTGTACAGTTTTTTGAAGTTTGAAATGATCTGCTGGTCTATGGGTTGGATGACAGTAAGTAGTATTAGAGGGCAAGAACTTCACTGTGATGAAACTAAACTCCTCCACCATTTGGTCATCCAAGTCTGGAGGACGAGCAGGAGCAGTGTCCATTACCAGGAGGCACTTGAGTGGCATTTTTTTTCCAAGAGGTATTCCTTCACCTTCAGACCAAACATTTCACTGAACCAGTTAAAGAAAATTTCCCTTGTGACCCATGCGTTACTGTTAGCCTTCCACACCACACACAATTTACTGTTGGCGACACTGGGATTTTCAGTGTGATACACCAGTAAAGGCTTCACTTTGAAATCCCCACTAGCATTACCACAGAACACGAGTTAGCTTGTCTTTCATAGGCTTGTCATGGCAGTACCATTTCCTCCTGCATGATGTTGGTCCTCTTCGGCATTTTCTTCCAAAATAGGCCTGTTTCGTCACAATTGAGCACTTTTGGGGGACAATCCTTCAGCCTCTACATAATCCTTGAATTCCTGCACAAATTTTTGAGCTGCACATTTGTCAGACCTGGCAGCCTCGCCATGCCTTGCCACGCTGTGTAGGCCACTAAGTTCCTTAAATCTCTCAAACCAGCCTTTGCTGGCCTTAAATTCACTAAAATTAGCACTCGTTCCAGGCATTTTCTTCACGAGATTGGCATGCAACTGCCTTGCCTTTTCACAAATTATCAACTGCATAACACTATCTCCTGCTAATTGTTTTTGGTTGGTCCACAGTAACGACAAATTCTCAACATCTTCGAGTATTTGCAATATCTTTTTGGTGAGCAAATCTACTCTTCGCAACAACAGCTTCCTTGATTTCCTTTTTCTTCGACACGATGGAAGTGATTATTGAATGGGGCTTCCCGTATATCGTGCAGAGTTCGACCACACGCTCTCCACTTTCATATTTTGCAATGATTTCTTTCTTTAATTCTATCATGTTTCTCACCTTTGCCAAAGAGCTGGCACTAGAAGCTTTCTTTGGGCCCATGGTGGCTTATTTAGCAGTTGCAAGTAAAATAAGGAATGGATTATTACGAAATGTTTCGTATGAACACGTGGGGTGATGGTCACTCGTCCACAAACAGTGCCACACTGACTCCTGAATGCTGTGTGGGAGCCTTTGTGTATGCCCGGCCACTCCCAGCCGCACGGACCCGTTTCATATGACCACTGAATTTTGAGGCAAATCACGAACGAGGCTTTATTTTGAAAAAAAAAAAAAAAATTGCCAAAAGTCAAAATTCACGAAGCACGAGGCTCATGAAACTTGGGGGTCAGTTGTATTTGATACCACTGTTACATTACATAACTAGGGATCTTGTAAGGCTAAAAGATACTTTTGTAACCATATCCAACTGTATGCTTTTTATCTATAGCTGATTTTAGTTGAACCCCCTCCCCTCCCTCATTTGGCATTAAAGTCTATGAAGGTCAAAGATGGAATGCTTAACGTTTCTGGTTGTTGTCAGAGTGCAGTATGAGCTCATTTATTATTTTAGTATCAGCATTGTCGGTATGAGTTATGTTTGTTTTAGTTTCCCATTTGTCAACTGACTTGTGTTTCATACAGTAAATTAAAGAACTATAGAGTAAAAAAAAAAAAAAAAAAAAACTTCTGAGCCACCCAATACACTATCACTCAGTATACAAGTGTCACTTGATTATGAAAATAACAATTTAAGAATTTGCTCCAGAGCTTTGGGTAGTTAGATGGAGAGCTTGAGAATCTAAATAGTAATGTACATGTGTAATAAATTTTATTATGGTATTCAGATAGTGTGTGATCTAAAGATGTGCTAATTTGTTAAAGAACCTCTCACCTGGGTAAGAGATAGGTAACACTAGACCTTTTCCTTGTATACTGAAGGCAGAAGCTGGGATAGATTGAATAATTAAATGATGAAAAATTACACTTAGTAAATAAAGATAAAGCAGAAAAGGCTTAAACAAAGCTAAAGCATATTGAATGGAAAATCGGTTATTTGTAGGGAAAAGTATATACATAATTGAAGGTGATATAAATTTGTATTATATACTGTATCTATCAGTTAAGGTAGTAGGTTGGTAGACGGCAACCGCCCAGGTAGGTACCATCGTCTTGCCAAGTGAGCGTAAAATGGATGCCTGTAACTGTTATGTGATGGTAGGAGTGCTGGTGTCTTTTTTTTGTCTCATAAATGTGCAAGATTTCAGATACATCTTACTACTACTACTTTCACTGAGGTCACACTATTGGCAGAAAGGTGGGCTGGTGCAAGTATGAGTAGTAGTGGGGGGGGGGGGGTTGAAGAGGGTTGGAATAGTTTTAAAACTGCAGTATTAGAATGTGGGACAGAAGTTTGTGGTTATAGGAGGGTGGGTGCAGGAGGAAAGAGAAGTGATTGGTGGAATGATGAAGGGTGTGATAAGAGAAAAAGGTAGCTTACAAGATGTTCTTACAAAGCAGAAGTGTTATAAGAAGAGTAGAGTACAGTGGACCCCCGCATAACGATTACCTCCGAATGCGACCAAATATGTAAGTGCGTTTGTACGTGTATGTTTGGGGGTCTGAAATGGACTAATCTACTTCACAATATTTCTTATGGGAACAAATTCGGTCAGTACTGGCACCTGAACATACTTCTGAAGTGAAAAAATATCGTTAACCGGGGGTCCACTGTGTATGTAGAGTAAAAGAAAGGTGAAGAGAGTGGTGAGAGAGTGCAAAAGGAGAGCAGATGATAGTGGGAGAGGCACTGTCAAGAAATTTGAATGAAAATAAGAAAAAATTTTGGAGCGAGTTAAAAAAGTTACGAAAGCCTAGGGAATGAATGGATTTGTCAGTTAAAAATAGAGTAGGGGAGTTAGTAGATGGGGAGATGGCGAGAATATTTTGAACTTTTATATGTTGACGAAGAAAGGGAGGCGGTAATTTCGTGCACTGGTCAGGGAGGTATACCATCTGTTAGGAGTAAAGAAGAGCAGGATGTGAGTGTGGGGGAGGTGCATGAGGCATTACGTAGAATGAAAGGGGGTAAAGCAGCTTGGACTGATGGGATCATAACAGAAATGTTAAAACAAGGGGGGAATATAGTGTTGAAGTGGTTGGTATTTTTGTTTAACCCTTTGACTGTCGCAAGCCCCTTTCTTAAACTGTCATTCTATGTTGCAAAATTTTTGGAAAAAAAAATTTTTTCTTATGAAATGATAGAGAATCTTTTCCCGATGGTAATGACGCCAAAAGTACGAAATTTGGTTGAAAACTCACGGAATTACGCTCCTGCGAAGTTAGCAGTCTCGGCGACATGTATACATCAGCGATTTCGCCGACTTTGAGCCCTGTCTTTGGCCAATTCCGTTGTTCCAGTTGACCAAACTCATACCTATTTTTTTAGAACTCCATTTTTTTTTCTATCAATTGAGTACAAGAAATCACCCATTTACCGATTTGAACTACCCAATAAAATAGTCAGAAATTGGCAATTTGGCCAATTTCACACAAATTAAAAAAGATGCCAATTTCAAAATAGGGTCTAGAATAAACAATGTTGACATTCTTGGCACTAAAATAACATATCTTCTGTTCATTAGTCACGTCTCTAGGCCCCTCTTATATCACTATTGCTTTCTATTTTGATTTTTTATTCATACAAAAAATACAAAATTTACTGTTATGCAGACTACTGCATTATTGTAAAAATGGTATAAATAATATCAGTGCACTAGTGAAGGAATATTACTCCCCAGTTGACGTGTATTGGACGTTTGGTGTGATTTGCTTACTCTTGAACATTGGTAAAAATTGAACACTTCCGCTACTTTGAGCTCAATTTCAAGGTCGGTTTTATCGTGAAACTAATCAAAATCATCTCTATTTCTGCAATATGCTTGCCATTTTATCACGTGAGACCATGAAAACGAGAATACGATAAATACCATACAAAAATACACCTCAAGGTTGGCATTTTAATCCAAAAAAGTTAGGTTTTTTTTTATCTCGTTATGCACTGCGTGCTGCAGGATTTTTATGTGGTGCACACTGACCGCACAGACCCATTCTCTCACATGTGGGCCTACCAGCTTTCTCCTGCTTGATTTGAAGCTGCTAGAATTATTGAGTACATATAGGTCCGAAACACTGGCTCATAAGACGTATACTGTATATACAACCAAAACAGTCAAAGGGTTAATACATGTATGAAAGAGTGGAAGGTACCTAGGGATTGGCGGAGAGCATGTATAGTCCCTTTATATAAAGGGAAGAGGGACAAAAGAGATTGTAAAAATTGTAGAGGAACAAGTTTACCGAGTATACCAGGAAAAGTGTACGGTAGGGTTATTATTGAAAGAATTAGAGGTAAGACAGAATCTAGGATTGTGGATGAGCAAGGAGGTGTTAGTGGGTAGGGGATGTGTTTACATTGAAGCATATATGTGAACAGTATTTAGATAAAGGTAGGGAAGTTCTCATTGCATTTATGGATTTAGAAAAAGCAAATGATAGTGGATAAGGGAGCAATGTGGCAGATGTTGCAAGTATATGGAATAGGTGGTAAGTTACTAATGCTGTAAAGAGTTTTTATGAGGATAGTGAGGCTCAGGTTAGGGTGTGTAGAAGAGAAGGAAACCACTTCCCGGTAAAAGTAGGTCTTAGACAGGGATGTGTAATGTCACCATGGTTGTTTAATATATTTGTAGATGAGGTTGTAAAAGTAGATGGGGTTGTAAAAGTAAATGCTAGGGTGTTTGGGAGAGGGGTGGGATTAAATTATGGGGAATCAAATACAAAATGGGAATTGACAGTTTACTTTTTGCTGATGATACTGTGCTTATGGGAGATTCTAAAGAAAAATTGCAAAGGTTAGTGGACGAGTTTAGGGGTGTGTGTAAAGGTAGAAAGTCGAAAGTGAACATAGAAAAGAATAAGGTGATGAGGGTATCAAATGATTTAGATAAAGAAAAATTGGATATCAAATTGGGGAGGAGGAGTATGGAAGAAGTAAATGTTTTCAGATACTTGGGAGTTGACCTGTCAGCGGATGGATTTATGAAGGATGAAGTTAATCATAGAATTGATTAAGGAAAAAAGGCGAGTGGTGCGTTGAGGTATATGTGGAGACAAAAAATGCTATCTGTGGAGGCAAAGAAGGGAATGTATGAAAATATAGTAGTACCAATACTCTTATATGAGTGTGAAGCTTGAGTTGTAAATGCTGCAGCCAGAAGGTGGTTGGAAGCAGTGGTGTCCTGTCTAAGGGCAATGTGTGGTGTAAGTATTATGCAGAAAATTCGGAGTGTGGAAATTAGGAGAAGGTGTGGAGTTAAAAGTAGGAGGGCCGTCAACTAGAGCATTAACACGAGAACGAATGGCAGTAAACCATGCTTCAAGACTATGTACATGGTCATTGAATAAAGGTAACGCATCAAGGGAATCACGAGTAAAACTATAGTTTCTTAGTGTCTGGGTTGGTCTGTCAGTCAGTAAGGAACTATGAAGACTGATGACAGGAGCAGCAGTAGCCTGAGAGGTCTGAGTGTCGCCATTCACTAAGTATCGCTTGAAGGTATGTGAGGCATAATGGCAAAGAAGCTGCACAAAAACAAATAAGGCAAAAAATAATGAATAATAAAAATGACACAAAATGCTAAAATTGAAATCAAAGATGTAACTAATTCTGCCAAAGTGGTAAAAAAAAAAATTCTAAGATGCACTGCAAGAGGAAGAACAACTCAATATAAGGGACTGCTGGGAAAGATAAAGAAACACATTGAAATTTACAAGTAAAAATATTACTGGAGGCTGAATTAAATGCAAAATGAGCTGTCTGTACTCTTGATAATAAAGAAATTAAATAATAAAACTGTAAATCAGTGTAAAGTGTAAAATAAAAATACTAAATTGTATGCAAAGAGAGAGAACTGGGAAATTTAAATATTTTCTAAGAGTGCATAAACAAAATTAAAATATAATGCAAAGACAACATTAGGAAAAATAATAAAATGAAAAATAGGACACTCATACAATAACGAACTGAGAATAACAATGCTTAAAAATATCAATAAAAGAAAATAATTGACTGTAGAGCAAGTGCAATAAAATAAAGCACAGAAATAATCAATGTAGCAATAAAAGTTACACTGGGAAAATGCAGGTTAAATAATTTATTTTTGTTTATTTTATGTCTTTGCAAACAGTACATTGAGATTTTGTATTTACAATAGTGGGTTGCAATGCAAAGAGAGCCTCTATTATGCCTAGGCATTATGGGCCAACTTAACATTATTGGCTTACAGTCTACTTAACACTAAGGAGTATATCACAGTTGTTAAATTAGACACATGTGCAACTCTTGGGTATCTTTGAGGAAACGTTTCGCCACACAGTGGCTTCATCAGTCCATACAAAGGCGAAACTTGAAGAACTTGTATGGACTGATGAAGCCACTGCGTGACAGGTGCAATCACTAAAAACGCTGATAATATGAAATGTTCTGATTGTATGTTTGGATGGGAAAGCGGTGGCTGGCTGGCTTGTAAACGCTGGCCACAAGTGGACGCGTCTCAAACGGAACTAGTTTTTTAGCGCTAGTCGAGGCAAAATTTTTGCATTAAAATGTATCGCTAGTCAGATTTAACGTTAGATGATGCCATCATTGGTCAGGGGTCCACTGTACATGAAATACAGTGGATCCCCGCATAACGATCACCTCTGAATGCGACCAATTATGTAAGTGTATTTATGTAAGTGCGTTTGTACGTGTAAGTTTGGGGGTCTGAAATGGACTAATCTACTTCACAATATTCCTTATGGGAACAAACTCGGTCAGTACTAGCACCTGAACATACTTCTGGAGTGAAAAAATATCGTTAACCGGGGGTCCACTGTACATATTTTATTCATTTTAGAGTATATATATCAGGTTTCTATGTTATTTATATTGTTTATTATGTCATATTAGATGAAGTGAGATAGATAAATAAGCCGTAGAGTTGATATTGGCAAAATTATTGAAGCACAGAATTCTACTGGAACGGATTAATTGCATTTCAGTTAATTTAAATGAGGAAAATTGACTCTGCAGACGAGCAAATCCAGTTGCAACCAAGGTCATGGAACGGATTAAACTCGCAAGTAGAGGTCCTACTGTATATATACATGTATATATATATAATACCTAGGTAGTAGGTTGGTAAACGGCAACCGCCCAGGGAGGTACTACCATCCTGCCAAGTGAGTGTACACCGAAAACCTGTAATTGTTTTACATGATGGTAGGATTGCTGGTGTCTTTTGTCTGTCTCATAAACATGCAAGATTTCAGGTATGTCTTGCTACTTCTACTTGCACTTAGGTCACACTACACATACATGTACAAGCATATACTGTACATGTATATACACACCCCTCTGGGTATTCTTCTATTTTCTTTCTAGTTCTTGTTCTTGTTTATTTCCTCTTATCTCCATGGGGAAGTGGGACAGAATTCTTCCTCCGTAAGCCATGCGTGTTGTAAGAGGTGACTAAAGTGCCGGGAGCAAAGGGACTAGTAACCCCTTCTCCCATATAAATTACTAAATTTAAAAGAGAAACTTTCGTTTTTCTTTTTGGGCCACCCTACCTTGGTGGGATATGGCTGGTGTGTTGAAAGAAAGAAAATATATGTAAGACACACACACGCCCCTCTCGGTTTTCTTCTCGTTTCTTACTAGTTCTTGTTTATTTCCTCTTATCTCCACGGGGAAGTGGAACAGAATTCTTCGTCCATAAGCCATGCATGTCGTAAGAGGCAACTAAAATGCCAGGAGCAAAGGGACTAGTAACCCCTTCTCCTGTATACATTACTAAATTTATAGAAACTTTAGTTTTTCTTTTTGGGCTATCCTGCTTCAGTGGGATATGGCCAGTTTGCTGGAAGATGATGATCTACCAGTTACTAGTGTGTTATAAACTTTGTGCTTTTCCTAAATTCTTGATTCTGTTAGCTACGAAATGTTAGTTAAGTTGTTCAAAAAACTGTTTATTATTGTCTATTAAAGAGGAAAATATTTACCTGCAGGTAGCTATCCAGCTTAATGATACTCATCCCTCATTGGCCATACCCGAGCTGATGCGCATCCTTGTTGATATTGAAGGACTTACATGGGCACGTGCCTGGGACATTTGTACAAAGACATGTGCATACACTAACCATACAGTTTTGCCCGAGGCTCTTGAACGGTGGCCAGTAAGTATGTTGGAGCATATCCTTCCCAGACACTTGCAGATCATCTATGAGGTCAACCATCATCACCTGCAAAACGTTGCTAGGAGGTAACTAAAATATTTTTAGTTGGTAGATAAATGTAGTACAGAATATATTACTCAACAACAGAGGTACTCTAATGCAGTGGTGGGCAAACTATGGGCCGTGTGCGGCCTGCCAAAGGTTTTCATGCGGCCCGCCGAGATCAGACATCATATATTCACGTTATTTGGGGACAAAACGTTAATAAACTTGAAAAAAAAAAGTTACCATGCAACGCCAAATAATATTGAGGAACATTAACACGTTACCAGCAAATGTGCAATGTGGCCCCTGCACTGAAAAAGTTTGCCCACCCCTGCTCTATTGTGACTGTGTATCACTTTCAAGTAACTGTACATGCAACTAGCCTTTAACAGCCACCTAGAAATGTACATTGTGTACAGTAACATGTTGAGTGTTTGCTGTGATTTGATATTTATTTTATAAATTCTAGATTGTTACAGATTATAACTTTACTGAGCCTTCTTTTCCCCTGTAGATGGCCTGGTGATAATGATCGTCTACGAAGAATGTCTCTGGTAGAAGAATATGGTGAGAAGCGGATAAATATGGCTCACTTGTGTATTGTCGGTTCCCATGCTGTTAATGGTGTTGCAGCAATTCACTCTGAGATTATCAAACGTGACATTTTCAAGGATTTTGCTGAATTGACACCTGAGAAGTTCCAGAATAAGACCAATGGTATTACCCCTCGCCGTTGGCTGCTCCTGTGCAACCCTGCCCTTGCTGATGTTATTGCAGAGAAGATTGGTGAAGATTGGGTTGTTCATTTGGATCAGCTCGCAAAACTCAAACCTTTGGTTAAAGATAGTGGTCTCATCCGTGCTATTCAAACAGCTAAGCAAGAGAACAAGCTGCGGCTTGCAAAAGAGCTGGAACAAGATTATGGTATCAAAGTAAATCCATCTTCCATGTTTGATATTCAAGTAAAGCGGATTCATGAATATAAGCGTCAGCTTCTAAACTGCCTCCATATTATTACAATGTACAACCGTATCAAGGCTAATCCAAGTGCCAATTTTGTTCCTCGCACTGTTATGATTGGTGGGAAGGCTGCACCTGGCTATCACGCAGCCAAACAAATCATTCGTCTAATATGCGCTGTTGCTCGTGTTGTCAATAATGATCCTATTGTTGGTGACAAACTCAAAGTTATCTATTTGGAGAACTACCGTGTTACATTAGCAGAGAAGATCATCCCAGCTGCAGACCTATCTGAGCAGCTTTCCACTGCTGGTACTGAGGCTTCTGGTACTGGTAATATGAAGTTCATGCTTAATGGTGCTCTCACAATTGGAACACTAGATGGTGCTAATATTGAAATGATGGAAGAAATGGGTAAGGAAAACATCTTCATTTTTGGCATGACTGTAGATGAGGTTGAAGAACTTAAAAAGAAGGGCTACAATGCATACGACTACTACAACAATATACCAGAGCTTCGGCAGTGTATTGATCAGATTCAGAGTGGATTCTTTTCTCCCAATAATCCTGACCAGTTTAAGGATTTGGTAAATATTCTTATGCACCATGATCGTTTCTACCTCTTTGCTGATTATGAATCCTACATAAAGTGTCAAGATTCTGTAGGCAAGCTATACCAAAAGCCAACAGAATGGACCAAGAAGGCCCTTCTTAACATTGCATCATCAGGAAAGTTCTCAAGTGATCGCACAATTGCAGAATATGGTAGGGAAATCTGGGGAGTAGAACCATCTTGGGAAAAGCTCCCTGCTCCTCACGAGCCTCGTGAAACAGAAGCTTCTGAGGAGAAGTAAAAAAAAAAAAAAAAATACTGTAACTAAAGATTAAATCTTGTCCTGTATTAAAGGTTGTTATAGAACTTGAATTTAAGAATATTTTGAGGCTTTTCAAAATTAAAGCTACATAAAACTTAATCTCAAAACAGAATTAAAAAATTTATACTTCTGTAACTTGTCCATTTATAATTGATGTACATGAATGATGCTCGTAGATTTGCTTGATGTTTAAATGGCAAACAAGTGCTTGTAACTGGAGTAGTTACAAGATAGAAAAACAATACTCTTGAGTAATACCTGATATCACCTAGTCACTGATGCTCAGTTTCATAGGCTAGTTGCTTGATCAAAATGCTGTCTGTGCCAATTTTTCATTTCATTGCACATTGAAATTCATCAACACAAAGAAATTTTATCTAAAGTTCTAAAAATGTCAGACTTGTATATTTATGAACAAATTAATAAGTAATAGATAACATATTGGGAGCAAGGAGCTAGTAACCCCTTCTCCTGTATACATTACTAAAGTTGGAAAAAGAAACTTTTGTTTTTCTTTTTGGGCCACCCTGCTTCAGTGGGATAAGGTCTGTTTGTTGAAAGAAGATAATATATTAATAAATGTGAAAGTTTAGTATGTATACTAAAATTATTGTATCATATTTTATAATTAAAAGTTTATCCACTGGCTTATATGTTAGGAGATTTTATATTTTAATTTTTTCTGCCTTGCAGAATAAAGATAGGTCTTTTAACTTGATATTTAATTCACCTTTAAATTAAAAAAAAAAATCATTAAGAGTAATATATCTGGTATTTGACTCTTCTGATTTGTATGACACCATTCAATATCCATCTATGTTGGCAAGTTCAATATCCATCCTGTCCTTGTGGCTTAGCGCTTCTTTTTGATTATAATAATATAATAATAATCAATATCCATCCTTCATGTTAGCTCCATATCGTGACTTTGTCATGATACAAAGTTTACCATGGCATAAGGTGTAAATATCGACAAATTACTATAAAAAATGGAGTGATAGTGTATTTTTTTGTCTCGATCCCTTCCATTACTGACTATACCTCTTACTTAGGAGTAACTCTTTAGCACATCCTGCCCTGCAGTGCTGTATGATCCTTGTGGGTTTAGTGCTTAGTAATAATTGTAATAATTCCTTTCAGGGAGATGCTGGTGAAGAGCTTTTATCCAAAGAACTGGAATTGCCCTCTCTCTACTTGGATCATATCCAATTGCCTCCTATTCCTCTGGTGCAATATGACCCCTATGGGTTAGTGCTTCCCCATGAATGCATAAAGTAGTGTATCAATGCAGGAAGAAACTAGCACACTGCCTTGTAAATTATACAATAAATGAGTTCCTAAGGTAAATGCTCCCTCATGGGTTTACCAGGAAATGTTATACATTAATTCCTTTTCCAGTCAAGGGAGTGTGTTTAGTGTTTAGTTTTGATGATGATAATCCGGTTAAAGAAGGTACCTGGATGCTGCCGAGGAACTCTTGAGCTAAAGAATTTAACCAATTCCATTGATTGAGCCGGACTACTACTAATTCCCCAGGTGCTGTATGACCCCTATGGGTTTAGTTCTCTCCTTGCCCCCATGAAAAGAATTTTCTTTCATGTGCTACCTATAATGCTGCAACACTTAATCTCTTGATCTAGGGAATTGGATGTTCTTCAGTTCCCTGAATTGAGTCTGAATACCTTCCATCCCCCTCCCCACAGGCACTATAATCCTACAGGTTTAGCACTCCCCCATGATTATAATAATGCAACACTTAATGGTCCTCAATTTGTGTTTATGAGCATAACACTGTTTTCTTTGAATAGCATGCCATACACTTCTGTTTAATATTAATACACAATATGGTGCATTTCCTGTAATGTATGTATGAACATTTCCTCTTTGGGCAAGAATCATTTCAAGGTACCCAGAAATTTGACTCGTCATATCTAATAGTACTGTACTTTGTATTTGCTAGAAATAGTGGTTGCTTTGTATTTCTGACAAATGCAAGACTTACTTTGTTGGGTCCCTGGACACACTAATGTTAAGGGTATCCTGAAAGAAGGTGCCTTGATGTTGAAGGGTTCTTATTCCAAGGAAGTGGACCTGTCCTTCCTTACCAAGGCAACCAGGATCTCTTCCCTTCCTTGAGTTGAACCTGACTGCCATCTATTCTCCCCAGATGCTGAATGAACCCTATGGGTTTAGATCTTCCTAATGACTAATAATAAGGATAACTATCATACTCAGCTGCTCAATCTGTCATTCATGATCTACTGTTTTAATTTTTTTATTATATTTACAATCTGTATCCTTGATGCTGGTGAGGGGCTCTTGATCTAGGGAATTGGATTTGTGCTCTGGTTCTTTGAAATGAGCCTGAGTACGTTCCATTCCCCCCCCCCCTCACATGTGCCGTATAATCCTACAGGTTTAGTGCTCCCCTGTGATCATAATAATTGACAATCTGTAAATCACTTAATAATCACTGGCACCAGTGTTTGGGTTAGAGAACAGTTTTTCTGCATTAAACCACAACTAGGTTCCTGGCATTTTTCCAACACTGAATGTGGGAGACTACCCTTGCACACTTGAAAATCAAACGCATGTCCCTCTTACATGGATACCTCCTGGAGGTGCTTCTTGAGTACTAGATCAAGCTGTCAACATGTAAGTTGTACAATGTATCCCCTTCAAGGGAGGTTTCTTGATGCTAGTGAGGAGCTTTAGATCTAAAGAATTGGACCTATGCTCCAATTCCTTGAACTGAGTCTGAATGCCTTCCATTCCCCCAGATGTTGTATGACCCCTAAGGCTTTCATGCTCCCCTATGAATGTAATAATAAGAATGTTTTATGTACTGGAGATCGCACAGAATATGTTGATGCCTTCAATTCCCAGACACACTTGCTTTCATCACCATTCTTGCTGAAAACCCCACCTTTAAGGAAGACTTGCTGACTTTCTAATGAAAATGACCTTTAGCACTAACTACAGAATGATTTTTAATTTGCACTTTCTTACCCTTAACTCTACAAACTTCCACACTTGGTGAGGGCACGCGTGCGCATACACACACACACACACACACACAGGAGCTATAACTCGACCCCTGCAACCACAATTAGTTGAGTGCACACAAACATACTGGAGTATGCGGCACCAGTCTGGAACCCACACCTGGTCAAACACGTCAAGAAATTAGAGAAACTGTAAAGGTTTGCAACAAGGCTAGTTCCAGAGCTAAGGAAAATGTCCTACGAAAAAAGGTTAAGGGAAATCAACCTGACGACACTGGAGGACAGGAGGGTTAGGGGAGACATGATAATGACATAAAATACTGTGAGGAATTGACAAGGTGGACAGAGACAGGATGTTCCAGAGTTGGGACACAGAAACAAGGGGTCACAATTGGAAGCTGAAGACTCAGTCAGAGATGTTAAAAAGTATTTCTTTAGTCACAGAGTTATCAGGAAGTGGAAAAGTCTGGTAAGTGACGTAGTGGAGGCAGGAGCCATACATAGTTTTAAGACGAGGTATGATAAAGCTCATGGAGCAGGGAGAGAGAGGACCTAGTAGCGGTCAGTGAAGAGGTGGGGCCAGGAGCTATGTATCGACCCCTGCAACCACAAATAGGTGAGTATACACACACCATTACAAAGCTGAATAACCTGCCAGGATTTAGTGCTTATTTTTTTTAATACACAGTACTGTAATAATATAGGGCCTGGGAGTGATCATGTCGGAGGATCTCACCTTCAAGGACCATAACATTGTATCAATCGCATCTGCTAGAAAAATGACAGGATGGATAATGAGAACCTCCAAAACTAGGGATGCCAAGCCCATGATGACACTCTTCAGGTCGCTTGTTCTATCTAGGCTGGAATATTGCTGCACACTAACCGCACCTTTCAAGGCAGATGAAATTGCTGACCTAGAAAATGTACAGAGAACTTCACGGCATGCATAACGGAGATAAAACACCTCAATTACTGGGAGTGCTTGAAGTTCCTGAACCTGTACTCCCTGGAATGCAGGCGGGAGAGATACATGATTATATACACCTGGAAAATCCTAGAGGGACTAGTACCGAACTTGCACACGAAAATCACTCACAACGAAAGCACAAGACTCAGCAGATGATGCACCATCCCCCCAATGAAAAGCAGGGGTGTCACTAGCACGTTAAGAGACCATACAATAAGTTAGTGAGGAAATTATAGATCCATCGACCGACTTTTCCTGTTATTCCTTTAGCACGCATTTTGTGCGCTATTACGCCATGGTCACACTTGTCGAAGGCTTTTGCAAAGTCTGTATGTATTACATCTGCATTCTTTTTGTCTTCTAGTGCATTTAGGACCTTGTCGTAGTGATCCAATAGTTGAGACAGACAGGAGCGACCTGTTCTAAACCCATGTTGCCCTGGGTTGTGTAACTGATGGGTTTCTAGATGGGTGGTGATCTTGCTTCTTAGGACCCTTTCAAAGATTTTTATGATATGGGATGTTAGTGCTATTGGTCTGTAGTTCTTTGCTGTTGCTTTACTGCCCCCTTTGTGGAGTGGGGCTATGTCTGTTGTTTTTAGTAACTGTGGGACGACCCCCGTGTCCATGCTCCCTCTCCATAGGCTCCAAAGGCTCGTGATAGGGGCTTCTTGCAGTTCTTGATGAACACAGAGTTCCATGAGTCTGGCCCTGGGGCAGAGTGCATGGGCATGTCATTTATCGCCTGTTCAAAGTCATTTGGCGTCAGGATAACATCGGATAGGCTTGTGTTAACCAAATTTTGTGGCTCTCTCATAAAAAATTCGTTTTGATCTTCGACTCTCAGTCTGGTTAGCGGCTTGCTAAAAACTGAGTCATATTGGGACTTGAGAAGCTCACTCATTTCCTTGCTGTCATCTGTGTAGGACCCATCTTGTTTAAGTAGGGGCCCAATACTGGATGTTGTTCTCGACTTTGATTTGGCATAGGAGAAGAAATACTTTGGGTTTCTTTCGATTTCATTTATGGCTTTTAGTTCTTCCTGCGATTCCTGACTCCTATAAGATTCCTTTAGCTTGAGTTCAATGCTTGCTATTTCTCTGACCAGTGTCTCTCTACGCATTTCAGATATATTGACCTCTTTTAGCCGCTCTGTTATTCTTTTCCGTCGCCTGTAAAGGGAGCGCCTGTCCCTTTCTATTTTACATCTACTCCTCCTTTTTCTTAGAGGAATAAGCCTTGTGCATACATCGAGTGCCACCAAGTTAATCTGTTCTAGGCATACGTTGGGGTCTGTGTTGCTTAGTATATCTTCCCAGCTTATATCGGTTAGGACTTGGTTTACTTGGTCCCACTTTATGTTTTTGTTATTGAAGTTGAATTTGGTGAATGCTCCCTCGTGACTAGTCTCATTATGTCGGTCTGGGGCTCCACGCATACATGTCTCAACCTCTATTATGTTGTGATCTGAGTATATTGTTTTTGATATGGTGACATTTCTTATCAGATCATCATTGTTAGTGAAGATGAGGTCTAGTGTATTCTCCAATCTAGTAGGCTCTATTATTTGCTGGTTTAAATTGAATTTTGTGCAGAGATTTAAAAGCTCGTGTGAGTGTGAGTTTTCATCAGAGCTGCCTCCTGGTGTTATTACTGCAACAATATTATTTGCTATATTCCTCCATTTTAGGTGCCTTAAGTCGAAATCCCCCAGGAGCAAGATGTTGGGTGCAGGAGCT